CGAAGACGATGGCCTGATGTGCATTTGATGCCTAGACATAGTGAGGTTGAAGCAAAGTTCGTGGATTTGGTACTTGAAAGAGGTGCATCGCAACACACATGCCAGCCAACACGCAAAACAACACGCTCAACCCCGTCCTGTCTCGACCTAATGTTAACGAGCTACGAACAACGAGTGCGTGACGTTCGGATCCTGGAGCTTCTGGCTACAAGCGACCACGCAGTGCTCATAGCTGATATGCAATTACCTCTGTCGTATTCACGTCCGCTGGAACTAGCTTACAAGTACTGGAAAACGGGTTTGGATGGTCTAGCTCGAGCCGCGAGCCAAATGGATTGGTCTCTGTCACAAGCCGCATCTGGGGAAGACTGTTGGATAAGTATAAAATAGGGATTGACATCATTGTGTTCACAAGTTGTGCCACTGAAATGTAAGAATTTTGGACCGATTAAGCCTCATTGGTTGGACAAGGAGTATGGAAATCTGGTCCGGAGGCGGCGCAGACTGTGGGACAAATTCCTCCTCTCTGGCTCTGCCAATGATTACGAAGGGTATAAAAGTCAGCGGAACCTCTGCAACAGTGCACAAAAGGAATAAGCGCCGACATTTTGAAGTGCAGCTCGCAATCGCCGTGAAGACCGCACCAAAGAGAATCTTTGCTTACGTGAAGCGACGCCTGCAGCCGACAGGTGAAGTGCCAGTGCACGAATGGACAGCCCTCAACCTCCAGCACTGGATGTGCGTTCGCGTCGGCGACGCACTTCGCTTCTGTATTTGGAAATGACCAGGTGTCTGTTCCGAGTTCGACGTGTACCGCTTTTACCGAACTCAACAGTCTAGATAGCGATGTTGAAGAGGTATATCAACTACTCGCCAACCTTGACGGCACCAAACCTGCCGGACCTGATGGGCTTCATCCACTGGTTCTCAAGTCAGTTTCGATCATCATCTCTCCTGTTGTGACTGACATTTTCAACTGGTCGCTGTCCGAAGGTTCGTTGCCGGTTGACTGAATATGTTCGGTGGTGAAGCCTATTCCGAAAGGCGGAGACCCTAGCAAAGTACACAACTACAGGCCAATTTGTCTGACACCTATTTTGGCAAAGGTTGCTGAGAAAATTGCACAAAAAGGATTATCGCAATTGCTACAGTCAAAAGAGGTCCTGATGCCCACACAGCAAGGCCGCTCATGCATCATAAACTTACGTGTGACGAGGCACAAGTGGTTGAAGGCAATAAGCAAGGGAAAGTCTGTAGACGTGATATTCACCGATTTCAGTAAAGGGTTCGACAAGGTCAACCATGATGTTCTCCTTCACAAACACAGGATGTGTGGTGTCGGTGGCTTACTGCACCCGTGGATACGCGACTTTCTTGTTGGACGAAAGTGCAGGGTACATGTCGACGACCATCTAACTGACTGGTATTTCTCTACAAATGGCGTGCCTCAAAACACTGTGCTGGAGCCCACTCTGTTCCTGATCCACATCAACGATCTACCGCAGCTTCTCCGGTCGCCGTGTGCCTTGTTTGTGGACGACATGAAGATTTGGAGAGAAATTGACGCTCCCGATGACCGTGAAGTACTTCAGCAAGACCTCAACCGCCTATCCACATGGTCTGCAGAAGTCCATCTCTCGGTCAACCCAGCCAAGTCTGTATTTATGAGCCTGGAGAAAGGTACTGACGGCCGAACCTACACCCTTGACGGCCAACCGCTATATCCCACACCCTCCGTGAAGGATCTAGGTGTACTCTCGCGCTACGATTTGAAGTCCGTGGACAACACGAACAGGCTATATCGTAACGGACTGCGCATGCTTTGGGCGCTCAAACGTAGCTTCGGCACATAGTCTGATGAGGTTGCCACTCGCCTCTTCTCTTCCATCATTAGACCAATGCTAGAGTACGGTTCCCCGTCTAGTTTCCGATTACCCGAGGCGAGGCACAAAAGGTCGAACGGGTCCAACACGTTGCTACTAGGCTCACCTCGACTTTACTTGGTTTGGGGTATGAAGACCAATGCGAGAAACCAGGACTCTACACCTTGTCCTACCGTCGGATACGAGTCGACCTCATTATGACCTACCGTATTCTACATCTCGGTGACTTCCCCATGCTGAGGCCAATGCTGCACTTACGCGGTCCATGCAGCACACGCGGACACAGGTACAAACTTGTCGTGCCGGATGTGAAGCGTGTTCCCCACCCATTGTGCTTCGAACGGAGTGATAAATATTTGGAACAGTTGGCCTGAACATGTGATGGAGGCAACAACTGTGCACCAGTTCAAAATGTTGTTAGATGTATATTTTATCACTATCCGATTCAGAAAATGATTGCACAGTTACGATGATATGTCACATTTGTGAGTCCTGCAATACTGTGAGTCAGATATTTTAAATGTTACATGAGAACGATAACGATATTCAGGGCTGACAATCTTTATGACGTTTTTCACCATATTTCGAAACAGTTGTACAGAATTCATTTCTACATGCTCTATAATACAGTATTCAGAACTCTGGCCTAGTGACCATGGAGCAAGCCGTTAAACACTATGAGTTGAGTTACAATCCTCGCGATGAGACTGGACGTTAACGTGATACAGGGATTCGCGTGTCTCAATGATCCAACGAGTTTTGCTGGTTGGTGATCCTTCCGCCTTCAGACTCACGCATATCAAGTTGGTAAAAGGTTACAGACCAGACAAACTCAGTCTTCTGGTCCTCCAGGTCGGAGGCTGGAGCGAAGATGGATACCTAGCCCTTAGAATATAACCATTTAAGATCTGTTAAACGCCAGCTGCCTCGCGATCAGGTTTTTGAACCAAATGCGTTGGTTGGGAAGCATAATCGGTCTCCTGTCTAGACCTGGGCAACCTGATAATGACTCTGTCTTCAAACAATTTCTTGATGTCATGGCAGTCGCAGAGGACGATCAACGGCGCCTTATCTGCTGAAGGTGAGGACGCTACTACTCGGAAATTCTCGTCTTCTTATTTCCCCAGTTATGCATTTTCATTCGTATCAGCACGTTGCGAATTCCTTTTTATCCTCTTGAATTGAAAACACAAGTCCCGGCTCCCATAATGTAGTTTCGACAGTTGCTTACTGCTTCTAGGTCCAGGGCAAACAAAATCGCACAGCGTCACTGGTGCAGTCGAGAAATCCATGTTAGACCAAGCTGACAACCTCTGATCGTCCGAATCCATTTGAAGTCCATGGTCCTAGTCAAGACTGATATACCTCAACGTACGCACTCCGCTGCAAATCGATCAAAAGACAAGACATCCTATAGATCGATATGCAAGACTTATCGGGAACCTGCTTGCAAGACTCCAGCTCTTTAAGCACCCAGCAATCCTTTTCATGTGACAATAGCAGCACTTTCTCACTGTGTCTATACGGTGATAATGCAGCTTCGAATGCCGGTAAAGCCAGCGTGGTCATTCCTCTGAGGTGCGGGGCAAATACCGCGTTGGTCGAATGGACCCCAGTCAGCAACCAAATAGGCGCCGTCAGAGTACCTGACTCGCTCAAAGCTTCGAAGTCGCGTGGGGTAAATAGGTGCCTGCTTGTCATCGCTGCATACACCCCGCAGAGTATAGCGCCGAGTCGGTGACTTCCATCCCCAACTGAACGAGTTACTTCGACACAGATGCAGTACGGGTACTGTAGTGCTGAGTGGTGATCTGAACACATAAGTCGGAAAACTGTTCAATGATGAGGTGCATCTGGGTGGCCAAAATGGTGCAGGCTCCCGTAAAGATAACGGTGAGCGGTTGCAACATCCATGTGAAGATGATCGCCCATTTCTCGCGAGCAATAACTCCCGGCAAAGTAAATGCAGTAAGATCGTATAGCAGCAACTATGGTGGTAGCTGGCGAGTAAGCAGTGAACCTAGACCGACCTCTTGCTTGCTCGCATCGACAGCTCCAAATCGCTGACCCCGAGTAGATATAGATATGAAATGACAAGAACAGAGCTCAAGTGGGTGCCACTTGTGAAACGATCGGATGGAATTTGCCAATTTGTGCTGGCGTGTAGGACTGCCGTATTGCTCGTAATGCTTAAGCTCATCGACCGACTTCCTTGATTCTGGACCATTGCACATTTCACATTAGGTGACAGCGGCTGGATCTCGGTACGTCATGAGGGTTCGCTCGTCTCACCCACTTCTCAATCATATGAATCCGATCGTTTGGAGGCGAATAATGGGGCTTTTCTCCCCGCTGACACTGTACAATTGCCACCTGAGAGTTCTATGCATGCGTCGTCAACCGAGCAGCTGAACAGCTAGACTAATCTATCCGTTTTTCAAGGGCTTTGGTCCGCCTAGTGGAGTACAAGGTCTTTTACATGGAGAAGATAGTGTGGTGGTATTTACCCCAAAATATCTTGTATGTGCTTACCATTCTTAGGAACTGGTTCTCATTAATGTTTCGTTAACCCAATTACGTTTCTCGTTGTCATCATGAAAACGCGCATTCGTATGTTGTTTGAGTTCGCCCTACGTTTCCTATTTTTCGGATGAATTATTGCTCCGTTTAGTTTGAACGAGTGTGATCGATATTTCTGAGATAAACTCTGCCGCACGTTGCGTTCTCTCTGGGTTCATTGCGGTAGCCAAGCTTATGATTGCTTCTATATTTTGCCAACCTCATGGCTGCTAGAATCATGACAAGTGGATACGGTGCACTTCGGTGCTCGGACTATAGTCTGGGGACTAAATCGAAATGAAAAAAATCCAAATAAGCCACAGAAAGCAGGTTAATAGAACAGGTGGTGAGTGTTTGTCAGCAAGGGTAATTGGAACAAAGAATAGGCACCGACTGCTGTGTGCCGTTAAGAAGTACTTGGGATCAATGATAACCTGTGAGGGAAGAACAATACACGACTAGAGATTACTCACGGTTGCAAGGTAGTTTGATGTGGTTCACAACGATAAGGCGTCAGTAAAAGGGTCTGTGCCAGTAAAAATATGATAAGAAATTTACTTCTGTCTTGAGGTTGAATTCCAGCGCTAAGTGTTCAATCGGAATCACTTTGGCATCCCGGATGAAGGAAATGAATCGCGCGTTAAATTCTTCTTCTGCCTTGCAGCTACGTTCGGCTACCTCAATTCCCTCCTCCTCAATGATGAAATCCGACTTCAATTTTTCGTACTCGATTCGTTCGCGCTCAGCTTCCTCTGCAAGGCGCCGAGCTTCGGCAGCTGCCTAAAGTGGAAACGAAAGAAAGATGAGATGGTTTCTGCAGGTTCAGCAACACTCCCTGATGACCATTATCGGTAACGTCATTAGTGGGATTGGAACTGGTGGATAAAAACAACAGGCATTAAATTAGCAGGAAGTTGAGAGAAAATCCAAAAAGCGCAACCAAGAAGCACAAAAAGCATAAAAGGAACAATGTTGAAATCACAAACTCAAACAAACAAGTTCTGAAGTTATCACATTAATAGTAGTACATCATCAATATAGTGTACTGGTGATTTGGTGGCACACAGCCATAATGACCGTATCGGCGAATAATAGCAAGAGGATAAGGGAGTCTGGTGTGAAACCTAAATTCTCTAGGCAAACATTCAGAATCAAAGTGCCTCAGTTCAATTTAGTCAAACAATTATAATCTGAGTACTGAAGCGCAACAGTTGTTACGACTCGCATTGTCAGGATAATCATCACCATCATCATCATTACACGTTAGCTGGAGGTGGAAAACACCTCAGCTATTGTGCCGCAATACAAAAGACAAAAAAGGAAAACAAACAGTGGCACGCCTGCTGAGTCTCCAGTAACGGATGGACATCGTTCCGGAGAGCTAACAGCTGGCTGCCGTAAAAGAAAGTCATATTATGCCTAACGATTGAGATCGTGATTGGAGGTGGATGCTAAACAGGAGGGGGATGGACAAAGGAACTCACAACACAAGCGCCATTGGGGCCGGCTCCTAGCCATATCAGCAAGTGTGTCCAACCAAACGTGTTCACCGTCCTTAGGACCCCAGCCAGGCAGTCGGGATGCACCAACCGACGCCAACTTCGAAGTGAGGGTTTTCATTTCTCTCGACCAAGTCATCACCTGGCCTCCCCTCCACCTCTTCCAACCGCACCCACAACGCGCAAACAATGCACGTCGCGGGGGTCGGTGTGCTGGCATGCGCAACATGTGGCCCAGCCATCGGAGCATGGTGCTGAGCGGTTCGCTCGCTCTTCCTGCACTAAATACACGACGTCGAACACGCTCATTGCTCACGCGGTGCTCCCACCAGACATGAGCTAACCTGCGAAGGCAGCGATGATCGAATACGACGAACCTCTTTATGTCTGTCGACCTGATGGGCCAGGTTTCACAGCCATATAGGATAATAAATAAATCATAATGGCGAGGAATATGAGGCAAAACGCAAACAGAAGGGCATAGGAGAATGTGAATAAAATTAATCCGGACGGAATAGTAAAAGCTGGATGCGGGAAAGCGAATGCAATAGAGTCGGAGAAGATTTCTAACCAATGATGTAACCTATACACAGGCCACCAGTTCTACCAAGTCCCTCGGCAAACTCCTCCATGCCTTTATACTACGTCATCAGATAGTTACCTCAGATTCGTCCAACTGGGTGCGGAGACAGTGTGGGATACACACCGAGGAAGGTAGTGGAAAGATGTCCGGCGGAAGGGGACTAGATTTGGCCAACGTGAGCGGTTCGCGTGCTGTAGGTACTCCAACGAGTTACGAGCGTCAACTGGTAGACCTCAGTGTTGCTCAATGGGTTATTGGATATGAACAATGATCCGTAAGCACCCAAGATTATGAACGTTCAATATCCACACCGCGGTTGGGAATATTCGGAATTCATACAATAGTGCCGGTCTTGTCACAGCGGTGTATACTCCAAATCCGAGAGACGGTGGGCTGATAATCCAAGATAAATGAGCTTATGGAAAGTCACAAGAGGATTTGCGACGCCGAATGTGACATAACTACTAAGGTAAGTGAAATTCCATGACAGCAAGAACCAGTGGCAGTTCGAATTAAGCGTGAAGCAGTACTTTACAGTTCGGAGATGCGAAGCATGTGCAGAAGCACGCAGTGCCAAGCGTCAGTCTACTCAGTAAGGTTTAAATGGCTGTCGGTTGCGCATGCTGAAGGTTTGCCGGTTAGTCTCATGATAGAGTTTTCACTCCATAAGGGTACAAGAGAAAGGAGCCATACAGGATGAATCAAGGTAACTACACTTTACGAACACCATATGGGTGCGATATAAACCATTTGCACTTTAAATTGGACGTTTTGCAAACCACTTTGGACGCTTCACAAAAGGAATTGAACATTTCATAAACTGATTTGGGCACATTATAATCTAAGTAGAAAATCAGCAATTCGCTAGCAGGAAATGACGAGTAAGGCGACTAGATAATGTTCGGACTACATTGTAGTCATGCGTAGTCTATTATTACCTAAGCAAATGTTACCTAACTTTAGAGGATCATTGTGAAACACGCGTGTTTTGAATGAATTGCGATGCGCAATCTCAATGTGGACCACGATTCCCATTGAAGTAAACCTTGGTCAATTCGACCACTTGGACGGTAACTGATGAAGCAGATAGCCGACTACCCAGTAGTGCTCCGTCACTCTATGGGCCTTCGCGTAATTTCTGACTACTAAATCACGCCGTGTCTCCCAAACTTGTTGATCGAAACGATGATGAGTGATGGTCTTCTGCCTCACATCACTATTCCTGGGGTAAAAGGTCAGTTTAGTGGTCGACTGTCTGCTCCAGAGTATACGAACGCGTCTGTTCGTAGATCGGACCTATGTTACGCAAGCGGTGCAGAGCAAACCGATGAGTAACGCTATATGCTCTGGTATGCACTGCAATTTCAAAGTGTTTGATGCTTCCAAAGAGTTGGGTGGACCAAATTTCATTCCGTACTATAAGCAAACAAGCGCTCGAATAGGTCTACAGACTTATTTATCTGTGCAGTCATCTCACTTTGGAAAGTCACATCACCGAACAGGCTAGTGTAGCGTGGTGAAAGCTAATTTGCCTTTTCGAAGCCTCTGTAATCTATAGAGGAGATGGAATGGGGGTTTGATGAATAACAGGGAGGATCATAACGCAGCAGTGCAACCAGTGTTACTGGATGGATCGGAGACATTGCCGCTATGCGCTAAGGACATTGGGTGGCGGATTGCGTTTAACCGCCAATGCTTACAAAGCAGTATCCTTTCCGGTGAAGGAATCAGTTCAGTTTAGTTCCGGTTACCAAATGGGGTCAGAGCACCGCAATGCGGTGGACCCGGTTGCATTGATATGCTTCGAGAAAAGAAATGACAGCAATAATGATGATATCAATGATAAATCGAAAGAAAAGCAATATGTTAAATCTTCAGGCAAGGTGTGAGACAACAGAATGATCGCAAGAACGACACTGACCCCGCGAAACAGCCTTATCTGATAACGCGTCCTACCACTGATGTGGCCGATCGCGAAGACCCCAATTGCGAACATGGAAAGTAAAAATAAGATTCCGCCTTACGATGAGTCGAATAGAACTGAATTACGCTATTTGATATTTGGCAATATTTGAGTGCCTGTTGGGTCCGAACCAATTCCGATGAATCCGCATGTGCTTCGCGTGTTTGCAAGTAGAGCGTCGGTCGGAGTGTATTGTTTAGCAGTACCGCGCCTGAATGAGTGAGACCCTATGTAACCAGTCTAGCCTGAGGGGTTACTAGAAAGGAAACAGAAAAGCTCAGTCGGATCGGTGAATGTTGTTTTCTCGAATGGAGTCTTCCAAATCGGCCGCATCAACGGTCCGATGTAGCACGGTCACGAAGTCGGAAGTTCATGCATCCGATCCCCCATTCGCGACTGTTAACTAATCTGTATTAAAACTCCCTCCTCAGAAATTCTTTCTAGGAGTTATTAATACGGCAGGTAATATTTTGGAGGCACGTTAAGATGCATCGCAACTCAAAACGACAGCCCCATCGTCGGTTACTTCGTCTTCCATTGAAGAATCAATGACTCGCCCCATAAGGGCCATATTCAGGTGAACCGTGGTCTGTGGACACGATCTTTAACACTAAGGAAAAATTTATATGGGTGCCAAGACCTCAGCCGCAGAACTCAGAGTAAGCCCGCAACACCAAACTGTAGTATGCTGTTAAGCGTACCATCAAGGATGAGACTGCTACCAGCTTTTACTATACCGTCTCGCAACTGTGAAATATCAGAGCGATGTCATCAGCATAGTCCAAATCAAATAAATCTCCCTCGAGCAGGGATTCAGTAGCTGAATCGTGAAGTTCCACAAAGAAAAAACTTCATGAAGCAGTCCGCGCAAATCCAGGACTCGCTTTCCATCAGCTTTTGTTACAAAATCGCTAACTCACGCGTGCTGATGATGTTACCAAGACTAGTGGCGAAACGTTTGTAAGCCCTGCAACTGAACACCCAAGCCGAGCTACTAGTGTTTTGCCCGATCTCCGGTTGCTCTTACCATTTAGTTTTGCAAATAAATCATCCAGAATCTATAAGGGACAACGACAAGAAGCTAGTGAATATTCAAATTTCACGTTCTGGCTTTTTGGGCACCACGATTGGTGATGCTTAGAATGAGCAGCGGTACATGCCTCAAGTATACAATAACAGATGTACAAGTATTTGCTCAGGTATATCGGTGGTTAGGCCCAATACCCTGTATGAGACACAGTCATAAGTACATGAACATTCTAAGGTCATTAACATATGCGGAAGCAAAATTGAACAACTGCTACAGGTTGAGCTCGCTATGGCTCCGAAACGTACAAGATACATAAGTTCCATGGAAGTCAAAAAGAAAACGTGAGACGGCTTAACACTCCTTACCGCTTCAGCCAAAGCCATTTCTTCTGCCATTTCAGCCTCCTTTCTTTTGGCTATTTTCTGGTCCTCCAGCTTCCGCTGGTGTTCACGGTAACGCTCCTCAGCCTCACGTTCTTCTTTGCGGCGCTCCTTCTCGGCTAGTTTTGCTGCTTTTTTGGTTCCAACTTTGATCTTCGAGCTATGAGATTCCGATACACCTGACCCATCTGGTTCATCATCATGCGGTTGAAATTCATCTCCCGTTCTTTGTACAAGCTGTTCATCCGTTGAATGTTCTGGGACATGTGTTCCGGCAGCTAACCGTCGACGGACAGCAACATTTGGAGCACGTCTTCTCACCCCGCCGACCGCAGATGTGGGGACGCGGTGAACACGTTTTACACCTGAAAAAATTAAACAGTTAGTTCAAGCAGGAGCAAACTACAAACGTTAAAAAAGAAAGTTAATTTAAAAGGAGAATGGAACGACGAGATTCTAGTGAATACCAACCTGGAGAGAATTTAGTGGACTAACCTGACATCTGTGACAGCACGTGCGGTTAAAATCATGGTCGGTTGAACAATGCCTAGGTTCACTGCAATAGCAGCGTTTATTGAAATGCTCGCACGAAATAGGAAGAAAAAACAAGCTGAAAACTAGGCATTTGCAAAAAGATATAGATCATAATTTACAAAATATAAAATAAAATTAACTTTTTAAAAAAGCAATGACCTAGGAACAGGAAGAGGAGCAATGATATATGGGAGATATCCAAAAATACATATAACGTGTCGACTAAAATTTAATCGCGATCACGGTTGGCACCAAGACATCCTTCGATAGCGCGTTCCAGAAAGCGAAGTCCATGTGCGACAAAGGAAAGTTGGTCCCAGAGCGATCAGACGGAGATTCGTGCAACTGCAGTGGACTATCACGAAGAGATAGAACTCCAGAATGATGGAAGAGTCCGGATAAATCAGGGCCAATTTGACCTGCTAATATGTGATATGTGAGGACCAAACTGCCATGACATTGCCTACAAATATACTCAACATAAGCAGCCCCTTAGGACACCAGCGTATGGACCGACGCATCAGGGTAGTCCCAGTAGTTAAGACTCCTATGACTGCACTCTGTCCCAAACTACGCATGGTGGAAAAGTCTGCACACAGCGTTCCGAGTAGAGCCTAACGGATGTTGAAAATAATCTAAAGGATATCACTTGTCATGATTCTGAATGAACTGCGACCCATCTACAGCATGTGGAACCCCATGCGGGTGGCTGATCTCTGTCAGGTGACACAGATATTGGCATCAACCTATCGTCACACACGCAGGCCGGCCCGCAACCCAAAGGTAAAAAGCTTGTCTTATGATCTGACCGCGCGGGTACGAGCCCGTGTAGGGGCAGGGCGATCCTCTCAATATCTTTAGCCCAAGTGCGACCGATGGTGGTTACGCGGCAGCGAAGCGTAGGTACTGCGTACTGACATATTGCTGATGCCTTTCTTCTTCGTTTCTTCATACACGCAGGACTACATTCACACAAACCAAATAATGCGTCAAGGGGACATCCGGATACACGCATAAAAGTAACCCATTAGAAACATAGACTACACAGTTCGCCAAAAAGTCTTTGTTAGGCCAGTAAGAAATCAGAGTGATTTGTTGTACACCTAAAATTTTTTTAAAAAATTGGAATACCCGAATGGTGGCACATCCAGCTCCTAAAACGGATCGTTCACGCACCAATCGAACAGCCATACGAAAGAAGTGAAAATACTATCTGTAAAAGCTGAGTGTCGAGATTCAGAGCAACAATGTAATGATACTGCACCTTAACGCGGTGTCATGGTTCGCGTTCCTCAGCGAGCTACTGAGCTGTGCTGGATGGTGTTCTTACCATTTTCAGAGTCAATCATACCATGGCCAATGGTTAGAGGCCAAACAAACTCAGTGCCTCGGTCTGCAAATGGAAGCTGGATGGAGGGTGGCTACATATTCCTCGAAACGGACTTCGCATAACCCACTACCAAACTCCTGTTACATTGCGGTCAGGGTTTACAACTAAACGCCTTGGTTGAGGACCCTAATCGTTCGCCAATATCCTGCCCACGCAACATAACGATACCCACTTCACACATATTTTTCGCAGAGTAATGAACGGCGACCAGTCTGCTGTATCCAGTGCAGTTGATAGGGTATATAATGCTACTGCTCTTATTCACCCACCAACGAAGGGGTTCGTTGTGTTCCGCACCGGCGGGCACAGCCCGACTGGGCAGTTCCGGCTGTTAAGTGGAATGAGGACGGGGAGATCATGTTCGAAGAAGGAAGAAACAAGGGTGCCAGCGGTAGCATGTTTTAGTTTATAAACGCAGACATATGTAGCAAGTAAGGCGATCCTTTGCTTAATGCTAGTGCGTGACTGCCGATGCAGAATGGGATTATTATTATTATTGGCGCAATTCATGGGTGGGGGTTGGACTGGAATACTTCTGGGGCGTCGATACATGACAGGAGAAAAACTCGAGTCCTCAGTCAAAGCCTTGGATAAAACGTAATCCCGAAAGGCAGCGGGTCGTGCACCATGATTCCCTCAACCAACTCACACGGAAGTATGTGTCCTGGCTCGTAGACAAAAAAGGGTGTAACCCAACTCCCACACAGCAGTCGCCACGAGGAGGCGTCCAGAACATAAGTCCCCGATGCAACATTGAAAGCAGTGAGTCAACGATTTGTCAGGATCTAGCCCCTACAAGCCACAGCGCACCATGACTGTCCCGCCATATACATATACATATATATATATATATATATATATATATATATATATATATACTTGATACTCCGGAACCAGGCCACCTTTCCGTCGTTTCTAATCAACGCCGATGCAGGCAAACCAAGCGCGGTGGGCAACCGCTGAACAGGCATACGGAAGGTGACGAGATATGTCGAGTTAGACTCTCTTCGAAGACAGTTTTAAGGATAACAGCAGAATAGCCGGCAGGTGGCCGGAAGGATTACAAGCTTGCGTGTAATCCGGAGGTAACCGGTTTGAGCCTGCCTAGGGGGCAGGGCGACTTTCGCAGTATCCTTAGCCCAAGCGCGACCGGTGGTGTTTCAATCAAGCAATCAGTACACACTTCAGCTAAGGTGTCACAATACGAAAGAGATAAAATATAAGGGAAAAACAAGGCACAAAACATTAACGAACACAAGTTAAAATCGAAAGCATAATACGATGCTCAATAACATAGCAAGCATCAAGCGTAAAAAGTAGCTGGAGGAAGATAAGAGATGGATAAAGACAAAGAAACGCGCAACACAAACACTGTTGGGACCGGCTCTTCGCCATGTCAACCAGTGCATCCAAGTAAACGTGATCATCAGTATGGCAGTCCGGAGACACCAACCAATGTCAAATTCAAAGTGAGCAACTTCATACCGCGTGACTAAGTCGTGGTTTGACCGCTCCTCCTCTCCTCCCATTTATACCCCCGGCGAAGTTCAGTTCAGTTTAGTTGATCAACTATGATCCGAGCACCGAAGTGTGGTGGATCCAATTTCCATGAATCCAATCGCAAGAACAACAACGAATAACAACGGCGGATAAAGGCAAATAGAATGTAAGAAAAATGGAAGCAAGAAGGAAGTGAGTTAAACGAATTAGAATGGAACGAAAATTAACAACCAGATGCAAGAAACCGAATGCAGAGACGCCACTGACTATGTGACTGTGCCATTTCAGATACGGTCGCCAACCATTGGACTGGACCATCCCGAGGCCTTCATCCACGTAGACGGTAATCACCAGCCTGATCAAGTCTCTCAGCCAATTTCTTCATGCGATTATGCCACATTATGGACTGATCACTTCGCGGTTTCACCCAACTTGGTGCATCCACGGCGTATAATGTACACCGAAGGAGCCGATCAAAGGGCATACGGACGACATGGCCTAGTCAACATAAGCGATCAAGATTAAGTAAACACTTGAGTGAGGCACAAAGTTTCTTGCAAAAAAACAACTAGAGGACCACAGCATTGCGCACCCGGTGTTCTCATCAGACGTGAGCAATGCTCCGTAAGCTCCGGTGGTCAAACACGGCCAAACGTTTAATGTCTTAGATAAGAACTAGTCAGGTGTCTGACCCATACAGTAACACTGGCCCTGCCGCATCGCTATGTACCCTACCTTTCACTGGCAGGCTGATATCCCACAGTCTCCACAGATGGTTGAGTCTCTGGAAAGCCACAACGGTCCTTGCTGATATGCGAAGTAACCTCCTCAGTAAAGCAACCACCAGAATGACCCAGCTACTAATGTAAGTGAACCGATCAACCACTTCCAGTGATTGTTCGGTGATAGAAAGAACCGGAGGTGTGTCGGTCCAGTGCTGAAGTAGTACTATGCAATTTGAGGGTGCAAAACACATGCCGAAGCACGTAGCGCTACGCGTCAGTCCATCCAGCAGTGTTTGAATAGCCACTGCGTCAGACCCAAAAAGAGCTATATCACCAACATACTCCAGGTTTGTCAGTCGATTACCTGGTAGAACTTCTACTCCGGTAGTCTGAAAAAAGGGAGTCACTCATGATCATTTCGTTAACAAAGTTAAAGATAAAAGGAGATATAAGACAACCCTGACGAACCCCACTTGTCTTGGGGAACTCAAGAGACAGTTTCCCGTAGAAGCTTATAACGCCTCGAGAGTCCAGGTAGAGACTACATAATAGAAAGGAATTTAGCCGGCACGCCCTTAATGGATAGGCGGTCACAAACTGGCAGCTTTTAGGTCAAGGAAAACAAAAATTGTCCGTCATCTTTATGTGTGTCTCTGCTCCAACACTTGGCGAAGAGTAAATATGTGGTCAATACAATCACGACTAGGGCGGAAGCCAACCTGGCCACCGGTGTGGGAAACATTGACGCTGTGCAAGCGATGTTGGAGCAGGAAGCGCGGGTGACGGTAAGGGTGAGGAAAGTCATCGGGATTCAAAGATTCAAAGACAAAGTGCCTGATCGCCTCCAATCAAAGGTAATATACCGATTCACCTGATACTGTGGAGGTACGACCAAGCGTTTAAAAACTCGAATCAAGGAGCACTTACCGAATTCGCTCACCAACCGCAGAGACAGATCTAATCTAAGTGCAATTACTAACCATCTGATTGCCACTGGGCACAATACTGACAAAAGTAGTGCCTTCGAAATCCTGTATAAGATACCGTCAGCTTCACCCATCAGTTAGCAGCACGACTTCTTGCTACTGCTGAAGCAGTAAGCATAAGCCTGATGAAGCCTAATTACTCCATTCATAAGAAGCTCATTCAAGCATTGCAACTTCAGTGGTCATCAACTACACCAGAGGTATTTGCTGCCGCCCATCAATCCCACGTACCGCCAATCATCTGATCATCGGACACTTATCACGAGAACTGTTTACGTTTAATTTTATCTAATCAATGGTGTGTCGCTATACTCTCCCACATATGTATATTTCTGTACTAGGTCTGATGAAAAAGAACTCGAAAAAAAATTGTTCGCCCTAAGCGTACTGCATACGTTTCTTCTCGGGTTTGACAACAAAATGGGCATTCTGCACGAAATCACCCATGACTCCAAATAAGAATACCAGAATACGAATAGGTTGGGATGACACTGTTAGTTCGTGCATTCTCATTGGCCACGTACAAGCAAATAATAAAGAGATCAAATAAAGATCACATAAGTCTAACTGTTGGTCAGCTGAATACCGATTGTGCGCTACTCTCTACCACGGAAGGCTTAGTGTCACAGTCAGCTGTTTTGGAACGCAGAGCGTCAGGCGCTGTCTATCGACTGCAATGGCTTTGAGAAGCTTGAGAATATGAAGTCTTTGGTTGCGCATGATGGCTGTAATTGATTCATTCATGGTTTACCTGGTGACCAGTGTTCAGCAAATGCCTAGCAATTGCTGAGGCAGCCTTGCTACTCGATTCACCCGGTGAGACCTTCGCAGGCTCCATGCGTTTGCGGAGCCAGTGCGGAATGCGTTCGTTGATTCGGACATCTAGATTTCGATAAGTGCGCCCAACATAGCTGTCCTCGCAGCTACATGTGAATTCGTGTAGAGAATGGGGCGTGCACTGCTTCGACACCGTTGTCTTCAATGAACACTTAAGTAATGGTTTTGTGGGCATAAGCATGCGTAGCTCCGCTGCACTGTATGCCTTTTTCATTAAAGCGCCCATTCGTTTCGCGGTGACTTTCATGAGGTGGTCGCCTTTGAATGACAACTCCATGAAAACCGGTTTCTTTTGAACCGTTATCTCTCGGTCTGGTTTAAGTGTGTCGCTGTAACGCTTTATGAAGTGTAGTGGATAAGCATTAGCTTGTAGTACCTAAAACAATAATTATTCTCAGCCTCCAGTGTATCTGTGATGCAAATCATATAAGCCCGATGGAACAAAGTTCGAATTAAGGAGCACTTGTGATGTGTCGACGAATAGCTCTTAAAGTGTATCCACCCGTCCAGGTCGCTTTTCGGTAGACTGACCTTTGGATTGAACCATCTGGCCGTCGTTTGAGTAGTATGTCTAAGTATGGGAGACAACTGTGCTCAGTTTCACATGTCACAATAAGATTCGGGTGTACACTGAACGCTTTGGTTACAAGTACAATGGCTTCATCTGAATCCACGACTAATAATATATCGTCAACATTGTGTTTATAGAAAGGGACTGATTTGATGATGTCTACTTTCTCTTCAATCATACGTCCGAAGGCAAGGGGCCCACTGGGCTGTCCATAGCCACACCATCTATCTGTCGATACGCTTTTCTTTGAAAGTAAAACTTAACATCTTTTGTACACAGTAGGAGCATGTTTTTCAACATTTCCGTGGACAGCTATAGTCGAACGTTGTTTTGGTGACAAACTCACGTAGGTGGTCGACAGTCTCGTTCAAGGAAACATTAGTGAAAAGCGATGGCATGTCAAAGGAACACGTGCGCTTGTGAGTCAAGTTTATGCCTTCCAAACGAAGAAGTACTCGGAAGATGTTCGATAGAATGTGTTTTACAATTTATCTTATCATAAGCTCAAGCATGCAGTTCAACTATTTCGCGAAGGCATAATACGGCGAACTCACCATGCAGATTATTGGCCGCATAGGTACTCCTACCTTATGCATCTTTGGTAAACCATACATTTGTGGAGTCTGGGTGCCCACTGCTTTTAGGTTTTTATATTCATCCTCTGAGATGAAACCATGTACCAGTAAGAGTTGCATTTAAGACAACTACTTCTCGACCAACCGATCTGTGTCGAAAGCAGTAGCTGGCTTGAATTTTGTAATATTCGGCAATACTGTCTCCATCTTGAGTAGTTAAACAGGTCTGTCAACAATGAACCCTCCGCAGACCTTATCGGGGACAAAGGAACTCACAGCACAAACGCCACGATTGATAGTGCCACAAGCAGATGCTCCTGCGTTGTGCATGGCGACCGAGATCCTATTCCACTGAAGCTCAGTGTCCTTAGGACAAGACAGCGAAAGTTCGGTATGCAATACGTCTTAATAAGCTTGCCTGACCGAAGGATGAGACAGTTTCTCAGTTGCCAATCGGGGGAGACGCTTGGTATGCCTCCCGGTAAAGTTCATGGAGAAACAACAGCGTAGCAAGGCAGGATCAGTCGACGCAGGTATTCTAGTACGAGCGACAATCTATGATGAAGCACGCCACCTGCAAGTTATGGCTATATGATCAATTTGGGTCCATCGCTGGCCAGCTACAGGAGGACGCCAAGTGGCCCTTCAGCGTCCACTGTATCTAAAAGCAGTGCTACTAAGGAACAACTGGTGCTCCGCACACAGTTGTATCAGACGCTCGCCGCTGTCAGTCCGTTCGGAGTTAAGCCCATAATTACAACCCAGCTGAGCTTCTGAAGAGCTCAGACGCCCTACGTGTGCGTTCGTATCCCCCTGCAAGTATTACAATATCTGAACTAGTAGCACTGCGTAGCAGCGCGTTCATTTCGTGATAGAATACGTCCTTGGTAGCACTAGAACTGCAGTAGGAGCATAAGCGGAAAGCACAAACAGCGTTTTGTACTACTTCCTGAATAAACCTTAGTCGATGTGGTCAAACGAGCTGCACACAAACGGCTGTTCACCGGAATCCAATCAACTAACGATGACTCAGCCTTGGAGCTTAGAATGATACCTACACCAGCTTGACCCGTGAGTGCTGCATCGGCGTCTTCGGATGCGTGCAGCCAATAGCGAGAGGACAAGCCGGGCGCAGTTAATTCAACAACCCCATTAGGGTCATTGATCCTAGTTTCGGACACACAAGACACGTTAATACCTAGTGTATCCAAAGTACGTGCGAGTGCAATCTGTTGACCTATTTGTCTTAGAGTACGAACGTTGAACGCCGCTAGGGAAATGGGACAGCGTGGCCTTATAAAGGACTGTTGAAGATGGTCATCCGGTGGATGGTGCGCGAACGTGGCTGCAGATGGTGGGACTCCAGTAGCATTGCGGCTGTTGTCAATTAAGCAGGGAATTATAGTAGGAAGTTTAGTAATGGGGGTCGGAATGGGTGTAAGAGAAACAGGTAGAAAAGAAAGAAGGGAGACGCCAGCAGTAGCACGATTTCGTTTCTCCGCCCTGCTGTATGTAGCAGATAAGCTGTGCGGCAGCCAATGCAGGATGTGGTTGGAGTTTGAGGCTGTAGTAATGGTTGTATTTGGGCTGAGATGCTCCCAGTGTCCCCAAGCACTACGATTAGGGCCCTCAACCAAAGCCTTTGGCACAAAAGTTTGTCTGCAAGGCAGCGGTGAGGTGGCAATGATTTGGTTTTACGGAGATGGACGTCACCCGTTTTCAACCCCAAGGTGAACGACGAGGAGACTGAATTTATCTGACCTCTAACCACTGATCAACCTGGTAGGAGTATCTCACAAGGAGTCCAGGAACACCACGCAGTATAGCTCAATGGATCAAAGAGGTACGCAAACCGTCGCACCACGTTAAGGTCTAGTCTTGTAGCGATGGGGTCGTCTTGTAACAACCCACAACACTCTCCTGTGATATGTTGTCCCTGATTAAGCAAGGTGCATGGGCTTTGACGTAGTATTCCAAGTGCAGCCTAACGAAGGCTGAGAATAATAAACATGTCTTCATTGGTTTTATTGGCGTTGTTTGCACCCTCTGACCGTCCGCTTGTTTTACTGTATGTGCAATCCTACTACTTTTGCCTCGGTGCGCCGCGCGCTACGTTGTTCCTAGCTCTTGCTGATTCGCGCCCCACTCCTTGTAGCCTGTTCAAGATACGTTAAGTCCAGCTGCCTCTATCATTTCCACCGTTCGGTTTTTCGCACGTCTCTTGTCATCGCTATCGGCTAGTATCTACGGCGCTCCCATCACCGCCAACTGGAACCACATTGTTATAACGCAGTAACGAAGACGAAAGGAGACCCAATATCTTTAGAGTGATTGATTTACGTCATTGGGACGGCAAGGGGCATAAAAATTGACCAACAACGGCAGCCTAAAACTCGCTTGCGTTGTGTATGACTTGCATAACAAGTGACCGAAGAATGCTCGCCAGAGTGACCATTAAAGCGCAGTGAGTGATCGTTTTTTATGCCCCTGGCACGCTGCAAGGCTAAAGAGAATGTGTAGTTGTGTGACCGAAATTTATCTCAAACATGTCGTATTGGGAAGACTAGGGGAACAAAAAACAGTCACCCAGCGACAAACTATCAAGCACTCGAGGTGATTGAAGGTATGATTAATCAAACAGTGAAGACCTATTAGTAAAGATAGATATTGTTAATAATGCATAAGTATATTTACCAACATACCATTTTTCTTACTTTTTAGCCTTCGCGAGTAGACAAAAACGCCCAAATGAAACGGCTGGCCGTCCATCTGTGCGGATAGGGGTTTTTATTAAAAAGTAACAAATTATATGTTAATGCCGGTGCAGTTACCGGTGTATTATGACGTTTAATGTCACAAATGCACGTGTTACACTTTTTGCTTTCCCATTTTCCTTCATATTTAAGCGAGACCAAAAAGAAAAGTGGACGACTGGCCGTCCATCTGTGTCGATCAACCAAAGAGAACAAGAACTAACCTCTCTTTAACCGCTTATTGTAGAAAACCCAGCAAATGTAGCCAGCAATAGCTGAGGTAATACTGAGGACGACAAAATACACGGGAAAGTTGATGAGTAACATTCGGCTTGTGTTTATAATATGCTTCCGGTGGAGGATTCCGAGAGTTTTCGTATCCAATACGCGCGTAGGTTGTAATAGACCTGGTAAGCTGCAATGAAAACATGTACCACGTGAGCGTTTAGACGAAGTTATCACAAGTACCCAGTAAAATACCACAATGGATGTGGTGTGTCTGGATAACAGATTAAAGTGACCTGGAGAGAGGATCGAACCTGATCTGAATAGATGGTGAGAATAAGCACGAGTGATGGCTGTGAATTAAACAGGAAGGGATGAGAGAAGAAACAATGGGCGTTTAATCGGGGATTAAGGATCCACTGTCTTATGGACCGTTACGAGGTAACGCGGTAACTCTAGTTTTTGGCGTGCCATACTAATCGAGGTTCTTAGTTGACATATCCTGGAAATGTGTGTGAATAAACGCGTGAAACGAAGTTTGACTGTTGTCAGTTTTCTCTAATCCAAGGCAACTTACATCGATTAGAGTGGTACTGCACCAAGCGTCTTATGACGCCTACCGGTAACCATTCCGGTTGTCCCCAATTTCAATCCCGTTTAATAACCCGTTTTACTGTTGTACGTGTTATAATCATGATCTCTGTTCTCCATGACCGTCTCGATAAGTATCAGCGCGGATGTATCCCTCGAGTTCTCGTTTGATGACCCTAATGCAACTTGCGAAAAATCTGCCTGTTCAAAGCCAGTCATGGATTCCTATAGTGGTATGCAGTGTGACGTTTGCTACAGCTGGTATCAAGAAAGTTGTACCGGCCTCCGAGCGGACCAGTACAAGATGATATCATTCAGTGAGAACTTGTTTTTCAGCTATGATGAATGCTGCGCTCGAGGATCGAGGCGTCCGGCTTTAACCGGTGCTGAATTCACAGCACTCGCATGCAGATTGGCAAATGTTGACAATGCGTTAGCCAAGCTTGCCTCTCTTGCCTCGCTCAACACCAAAGTGGCTGGCGGGCGCCATGACACTTCTGCAGGTTGTGTCGGAAGTTAGTGCTCTGGAGAAAGAGACGAGCATCTTCACACAGGTGTAGCAGCCGCTCACCGTTAGTATTATGGGAGCGTACACCATATTGACCGCCCAGATGAAGCTCGTCAGCGGACAGCATTCCAACTTGGACGTTCAAATCACTAGCAACCACCACAGTATCCGTACTTCTTTGATAGAAGTTGTCTTTCATCGAAGCAGCGCTACAATGTGGGCACGTAGGCCTCAATGAAAACAAGCACCGTTTGTCCCCACGCGACTTCGAACGAGCAAGCCAACCTGATAACGCACATCCGCCAGTTCATTGGGATCCAATCGACCAGGGGAACTTCAGCCCAGCGACTCAAACAATGCCACACCGGCTTCACCAGCATTTGAAGCTGTCATCACTGGACATCATCATCATCAACAGCAGTACATCAGCCATTTGAACTGATGCTTCGCTGCCATACAACCATGAGGACCTATGAAATAAAGAATAAGAAAAGGGAGAGAAGGGGGACTTACCTGAAAACCTTAATGCCCTAAGCAAACATTCAGGGTCAAGGCGCCTACACCTTGTGTTAACAACATACCGTCACAAACAGCTGGCTATCGTGCAAAGATAAGGCGGCATCGGCGAGACAGCTTCCTTGCGGCTTTCACTGCCACGCGTCATAATCAGCCATTACCCCGCAGATAACTCAGCACCAAACACACTTTAAACAGACAATCCGATTAGGAGACGGCAGCAGACGCGCCACTGGTGTCGGTTGCGAGCCATGTCCTGTAAAGTCTCGAGTCAAGCACAAGGTGAGTCACGTGGACTCCAACCCGGAAGGCGAGACGGACCAACGGCACCCAGTTTGGTCGTCAGTGACTTCATTTCCCGCTGCCAAGTCAACTTCTGTCCACCTCGAGCCTTGCGCCATCCTACACCTGGTAGACTGAACAAGGCCCTCCTAGGTAAGCGGTGACCAGGCATACGTAGCACGTGCCCGAGCCAACGTAACTTATTCAGTGCTATCTGTTGTTCTAGGGAGCTAGCATGATCATCACCCCCGAGTACTCGCCTACGCACATCATCGTTGCGGACACGCTGGTGCCATCCGACACCAGCAATGCTTCGCAAACAACGATGATCAAAGACTTGAAGGCGCCTCAGATCTTCAGACCGAAGGGGCCAAGTTTCACTACCATAGAGCAGAACGGCCCTCACTGTGGCCTTGTATACGCGGCCTTTCAGACGGAGGGAAACTCCCTTCTGTCGCCAAAGATGACGCAGGTTCAAGAAGGCAGCTCTGGCCTTTGCAATGCGTGAGCTAACGTCATTTTCTATGCGCCCATCATTGCTGATGCAGCTGCCAAGATAAGTGAATTGATCAACCACATCGAGTTCCTCGTTAGCAAGCGTCAAGGGGTCATCGAGTGGCTGGTGGTCCTGCAGCAACACTTTGCATTTTGAAGGTGCGAAGTGCATACCAAATAATGGGACCACTCTGGATAGGCTATTCAGGGTTGATTGTGCCGCCTCAACATTGTCGAAAAGCAAGACGATATCGTCCGCATAATCTAGATCAACTAACCGTTCACCAGGCAGCACTTCAACACCTACATCGTGAGATTCCGCAAGGGAACACTCCATGATAGAATCCACGACGAAATTGAACAAAAATGGGGAAATCGGGCAACCCTGTCGAACGCCACTTGTAGTCGAAAAGCTATCCGATAGGGCACCATAGACCCTGACGCGGCCTCTAGTGTTCGAGTATAGAGCACGAAGGATGTTCACATATTTCGTGGGAACACGTTTCCGCGCAAGTATTTCGAACAGAATCGATCGATCGACTGAATCGAACGCACTCTTGAAATCGAGGAACACAGCTATTGTCGGTCTGCGGTATGCGTGGCGCTGCTCTAGCACCTGCCGCAAAGTAAATATATGGTCTATACAGCCACGTCCTGGGCGAAAACCGGCCTGCTCTTCTCTAATCCGAGATTCCCGTTCTGCAGTGAGGCGACGAACGATAATCGAGGCCAGTAATTTTGTCACAACTGGCGTTAGGCTAATACCCCTGTGGTTCGCACAGTCTGTGCGACTGCCCTTCTTGTATATTGCCACTATAATCGATTCGCTCCAATTAGCCGGCACACTCTCTTCGTTCCAGATACGTTCGAATAGGGAGGTCAGTGCTTTGCAGAGGACCTCAACACCATCCTTAAATAGTGCAGGTGGTAGGGAATCCGGGCCAGCGGCACGGAAACGATTAAGGGCTGTGATCGCGTTTCGGACTTCGGCCTCCGACGGAGGCTCTAAACTAACCGTCCATGGCTCGTCCTGCATCACCTGAGTAGGAAGAGGTCCGGGAGCAGGAGGCCAGCGGAACTGATATTCAAAGTGCTCAGCCCAACGAGCCATACGGCGCTGCTTATTGTGTATCAGTGCACCCGCGCTGTCCCTGATTGTCTCACTGACGCCTGGTTTTCTCTGGACAAGTACAATGAGAAAACCGTCAGTGTCGCACGATGGGAATAGCAGGATAATCACAAAACTCGAATCATGCAGGCGAGTTTTCTATAAGCAGCAGCTATCAATTGACAGGGTCTCCAGTGTTCGGGCTTGTGCTGCGTGTTGGCCAATCTGCAACAAAGTGTTCAAATTGAGGCATACCAATCATAGGGAGGATCAAGGGCTCGAAATAGAAGCAGATGAACTGATGTTGTCAGTTTGGCTGGACATGAACTTATCGAATGGACCGGAGCGACCCCCTGTGAGTGCGTTTGAATTGAAACTAGAAGATAAACGCCTAATGAAGCAAGAAGGAGAAAAACCAAGAATTGGGGGTTGAAAACAAGGTGGATAAAAGTGAAGTTGGAAAGAGAAGATAAGAATGAAAAGCTGCAGGAAGGGAAGAGGATAAGAAGACGGGAAGGCTCCAGCAGTAGCAGCCAAACTCCTGTCCGCCCCAATCGATGCAGCAGATAGGGCGCCGCTGATTATCCTTGCGACGGCCAGAGCATCAAGAAATTGTATGCATTCCGTGGGCAGAATACTGTCAGATGGCACAGGTCTAGACAGGAGAATGATTAGGGTTCACAACCCGTTTTTGGTGCAAAAACCGGACCGAAATGCAGCGGGGGTTTTGACATTGAACTACAGTGAGTCCGTTTTAGTAAGGAGACACCCTCACTTAAACCCCCAATCTGAAGAGTCACGGGACTGAATATGTCAGGCCTCTAACCATTGGCCGATCTGATATGAATGGCTCTGAAGGTGCAAAAGCACCTCCCAGCATAGCCCAATGGATAGGTCAAGCAGGTGAGCCATCGCATTACGTTAAGTTCTAGTCTCGTCGTGATGAGGAGAGGCTAGCCAAGTAATCCATTCGACCCCAGGTCAAATTTAGTTCTTACGATGCACTACTACACACGACGGTTTCATGACCAATGGTGAAGCCACCTAGTCTAAGTGTTGTATCAAAGACCCGTGGGGTAAACACATTCTGTCGTGGTGATTCTTTCATGGATAGCAGCGCTATATTAAATAACGCTGTAGAATCTAACGCTGTCCATATTGTTGAACGCATGTTGGATGACCTTCAGTGGTTGGAAATGTCCGTAACGAAGCTGCTGTCTGTTTTTTCCAGGCGTTACTGTCAGGAAGCTGATCAGACTGGGGAACGTCCCAATTGCCGTAGCAAACTTCGATCGCGGCTATTTCGTGTGGTTCTATCTACTCCGGAGAAACGCAACGCTCCCTTGCGGTCTGTTTTTAAACTGAAGCGTAATAAGACTAGTGTTCAGTCGGACCTTCCTCTGGAAGATAGGCTGAAGCTAACAAAAACCTTAGAAGTAAGCGAGTGGCCAGGGAACAGGGTCTCCGGTTAGTGTGTTTTCAGGCGGTCAACCAGCGATTCATTTCCTCCCTAACAGTTCCTGTTCTGGCAGCGCGCGACCCAGGGCTGGACACTACGAGTACCTCTAGATAGCGCTCAGTAATGTGCGCAGCCTAAGAAAGGTGTACGAGTCAGATCTGTCAGTAGACGGATCTCATCCCAAAATACTCGCATTCGCTGAAAAATGGTTATCTTAGAACACGGATGGTGAAGTA